GTCCGTCAATTCATGACTACATAGTATACAAACACAGAGGAGGCGTCAACGAATGTAATAACATAATAACTTATCATCTTTTCATTTAGAGGCCAGGGAAAAATGATATTAAGTAAATAAAAGTTTGAGTTATAACAGCTGTCAGATAAGGTCTGTATACTTATTTTTCTTTCCACACCATAGTACAAAACCATTTAAAATCGTATCTAATCATAAATTAATTAGTTAAAAAAAAGATATTGGTTATTTTAACATTCATAAACCACATGACGAATGAGCAAATTTTTTGTAGTCCGAAACGGACCGTGTAAAACACATTTTTAATGTATTTGGCATGGCTTCTGGGCCTTTGAGCCATTGTAAAACACGTTCAGTCTCCAAAAGTCTATTGAGAATGGTAAACAAAATAACATTACTTTTTTCTTGGCTTTATTTGAAAATACAATTATGCGATACGAAATAAGAAAAAAATATGCAATTTTATAAGATATTTTACATCACTAGACGCGATGGAAAATTTTCAGGTCAAGACTGAACATCATTCTTTACTGCCAACAATAAAGAGAGAGACAGAAAATCAAAGATACCATTCAATATGTATTTATACATTCATTTTTTTTATTTTTTTTTTTTATATATATATATATATATCCGCCCAATAAGCCGACTTCATAAAATCGGGGCTTTCCGATGTGTTTTTATACAGAGTTATTTTCAAAGAGTATCCAAATTTTATATTTAATTTCAAATATTTGTTGTTTATGTTAAATAATTATACCATTGCGAGTACTGCAGTTGTTGAAAATGCGAGTAGTTAAGACATCTACTTTAATTGAAATTGAAATTATCTGAAATTGAATGTTAATTATAGACAACAACTACACGTACCGTGAAACCTTACAACTTTGCCCTTTGGGGACATCTTTGCCTAAACAAGAAAATTAACTAAAACTACCGATAGATATTTTACTTTAACAAATGTCAACTTTATATGGTGTCTAGGGACAACTAGAATATCTGTTTGACAGCACTGACTACTACAATCGCAGCTAACTATATTCAGGCATCTGTCAGCAACCGTCAAAGGGACAGTGTCGAAGGTGGTGCAAAAACATTGTTGCAGTTTTGCATCCCGCATTGCCAAGAAACGCTGCGCAGTAAGATTCATTATTATTTACGTGTAAGGCATTAACTGTTGCTGCTTTTAATCAAGGTCTCTTTCTTACACTTGTCTTAGTTAGCGAGAAAATTGTGAGGGAGTAATGTTGTAAGCAAATTTATAAACTGAGGTCGACAACATTGCCCAGCTCAAAAATGTTACTAGGGTTGACGCTATTGAAAAAAAAAACAAGGAAATATGTACCTAGGTATAATAAATAAAAATTATATATATATAATAAAATGTTAATATATAGGTATACTTAATAAAATAAATAAATGTATATAGGCATATAAAAAACTGTATAACAATAACCACAAGCTAAAGTTTTTAAATAAGATTTATGCGGCAATTCGTTTGCAAAAAAGTCTAAAAAGTGGTGTGGCCGTGGTAGGAAAAGGGGAGATCTCATGCCGGGCAAGGTGTTCTGCTCGGGGAGCGGCCAACACTCCTAATGATAGTTCGGAGAAGTTCTATATATACTGTCTATTATTCGGAATGTTAATAGCGCGATTTAGGCTTCGGTGTGTTTCGGTGTGCTAGTGGCGCGACGACAGCGCCGCTACATCACCTTACTGGTTCACCCTGCTCAAACCGGATGTCGGTAGTGCAGCCTCGTTGCCGACGAATATGCAAGTGCCAGGAGATTGCCTGCGGTGAGTCGAGAAGAAGGCAAATAATCTGCGAGAGTGCCGTGAAGCAGAGGCGAGCAGTAAGGTTCAGAGCCGTGCCGAACACTGTATAGCGCAGATAGTAGCTTGAAGGAACAGGAAGCATTATTATTCCAGTGCTGTGATGAACCTTGTGAAGCTAGCTGGCTTGCAGGATATGAAGACTGCAGACGATATCTGCTGGGTAGCGAATGGGTGGGGTATTTTATGACGATAATGAAGCTTGAAGTTTCTGAAGGTTGTTTGGTTGCATGTTCAGATCACGTTGGGTGGTCACCACTGTGGCCGTGTAAGGAAAAGGGGAGATCTCCCGCCGGGCAAGGTGTTCTGCCCGGGGAGCGGTCAACACTCCGTGTGTTTCGCTTGTGGCGCGATGACAGCGCCGCTACGGAGGAATTGTCTCCTCAACGACAGACATTAACGATCGCAGACAAAAATGGCCGACAAAATGGATTGGTACGCACAGTAGGTAAACCACGCAATTCATTGGTAGCAAAAACAGTATAAGCTGGCCTCGTATTATAATAAATAAGTATCGTCGCGGTCTACTTTTCCTTATCTCAACTATCAGAGTTAATTTCTGAGACAATTTTCTAGAACTTTCCTACCTAAACATTTATTTTCTTGATTTTTTTGTTGTTCAGTTAGTTTTTGTTTTTAATTTTTAAAATAAAATATACATTATTGCCTTAAAATCAGTTTATATTTTCCATTCATCTGATGCACAGCCCTAGCTCCTCAAATCTCTTAGTATGGAAATGTGACTAAATGTGGTGATAACATTGCCCACCGCCATTAAAACTTAAAATGGACTTCTATTTATTTCAAAATGTAATAGTATACCATTTTGCCGGTTTGCTAACAATATATCTTACAATCAAAATCATAGAACTTATAGTTGCTGAGAAATTTGGGTTGAGCAAAGATGTAAGAAAGTAGAGATAACATTGCCCGCGTCTGTTTTTGTTTTTTTCTCAGCATCTGTTAGGAATTATGTCACATGATTTTGAGTTTTGACAGTTTATTTGTTGCATAGAGTGTCGTTTATAGCTTTAGCAACCATCAAAATAAAGTGGCTATTTTTGAAAAAAGTAATAAAAATGAATATGTGGGAAAAGATGTAAGGTTTCACCGTACGCGTACATATTTGCATGCAATTCAATTCACAACGTCTTTTTCAACGAATAAAGCCATTTTCTTATTTTTTTCAATTACCCACACGTAGAAAAAAATGTTTTACGTTTTTTTTATTGAATTAGTTCTCCGTTGATAAGTCCTGACAAATAGAGGAGACTAACTTACAAGTCCATGAAGTTAGAGCTCAAAGAAAGAGGCAGGGGTGTCTGTACCTTTTACGGTCTATGGACGTGACGGACCCAAGCAGCGCGTACTGTATTCGGTGCACTGGACAGCTAACATGTTAATAACTTATTCATCATCATAAAATCGAACTAACCCTCTGTAATCTCGAATCAGTGGAGTATTTAATTAAGGTTGCCTCTTTGCAACAGCAAGGTAAATTACTTTGCGTCTTTCTTATGTTTTAAAACTAAAGGCTTTTAAAATAATAAGCAGTGATTTATATTTGAAAAGAATTTTAAAGACGTACTTTGCTACATAATGCAACCACGCTGCAGCTGTATTTGGCTGCAATAAAATGAGATCACACTCCCACAAAATACGAGTATCAGGATGAAATAACAGCAAGATCCTGTAATATATTATATGGTGAGAAAGGTACACCGTTTTTAATGCTAACAGGTATCTAGGGAGCTAATAGGCAATCTAATAGAGAGTTTCCACTTTATGGCTAACCGAAAAAATCTAGTACACGGTTTCCAGTGACGTATGAAAACATATAGGTGTAACGTTATACGGTTAAACATAATGTGCTAAACTCGTTTCGTTTTGTTTCGCTGCCGTATTTTTTACTCCATGTAGTGGGTTCTCTCACGCCCCCTTTTGTCTTATCTTGTTAACGTCTGATATAAAATAACAAAAACGGTGATCACGATCGTTTACAAAAAGTGATGCTTAGACATTCACCAATGAGGGAAACGTGATATGATGTGATGTGAATATTATAGCCTATAAAAGTTCATTATCGAACATAGGCCTTCCTTATAAATTGCTTCATATGGGGGGGGGTTCCATAGTTACCACGCTTCGCACACAGGTTGATAATTATTGTGGTAGTATATACCATATACATATTACATATTCTAACGCCGCCACTATACAGTAATATAAATGTTTAAATAAAGATGTGAAATGTTAATTTGAAAAATTCTGATGAATACAGTATCACAATTCTAATTAAATTCAAAAATTTAATCTAATTATCACAATGTACATCAACACTAATTCTTAAATTAGACCTCACGTTTTCACTTATTGCTGGCGATATTAAGACGCTTCATTTCATATGTACGCCCGTTTATACAGATTGTATGAATGCGTCGTTTAATATTAATTCATTTTAATAACCTAGTAATATATTTTACTACAAAATCTCTTTAGGATATCATTGGGATAATCATGAGCTCATCTGGCCCTAGCTTCGCACCTATGACTCCGCCATCGACCAAGTTTCAGCTGCGGAAAGTAGGGTGAGTGTTGCCTCACGAAATACTGACACTCCTCTCTTCCCGCTGCCTCACAACCATCGCATTAGTGGTGTGGTCCCGTCAGATCCGTGGAGGATAGAGTGAGCATTGCATCGCCATACCAACAAACTTCAGCCCCTGAAACTTTTATAAACTTTTTACTCTATTTAGTGGGAGAGGACACCCCGCCTATAACAGTCTACCAACATGCATTCAGAGTGGGCTCAGCAAGTCCACTTGCAGCGGCAGCTTGAGGCTAGCCCTTCTCCTTTGACCAGTCTAATGGATTCCTCTTTATTCATCGTGAATAAAGAGCCAAGTCACAGTAATACCTTAATCAGGGCTCATGATCGTAAAATCGCTTCAGAAGCCCTCCGTATTCTGTCAAGAGCCCCGACTGGACACTGTTGTCTTAAAAAACACATGTCCATCCTGGGACTAAACAAATCAAGGATGTGTCGATTCTGTTCCTTAACGAGAAACACTTCTACATATTCTAACTGATCTCACAGGTCGCAGTGAAACTGGTCTTTCTAGATCTGCATAGCTGCTTGCACAAAAAAGTCACAGCAACTGAAACTGTACACAGAAATTATATTAATTTCATTAATTTAAGAAATTATATTAATTACACAAGAAGGCCATAACAGTAAACTATGATATAAAACCTAAAGAGTCGCTAATACAATTACTACTATATATATAATAAATACTTTATGTACATTAACTTAGGGCTTAACAATGTATTTACGAAAATGTTACATATGTGCACAAAAAATCTACCACGGGGAGTATTCTCAGGAATTGTTCGGATTAGTCCCAGCCACCAAATTTCGCGAACGCACATCGCCTCAACATTCTCGATACCATCCTCACCATCTGTATGTATGGCGATCCCCCACTGTGCGTTTTACTAGGGGTTTTCATCCTCGTACAACTTCTCTGTGGAATTGTTTACCACTGGCAATTTTTCCAGACCGATACGACTTAGAGACCTTAAAGAAAAGAGCTTACTCCTTTATAAAAGACCAGCAACGCACCTGCTCCCTTGGTGTTACGGTAGTCACTCATCATCAGATGAGCCGCATGCTCATCAGCTACCTCTTCTAAAAATAAAATTGTGTGAATTCATTCTGCAAATACTAGCAACCCGAGTCACTAATTCATTTTTGATTTTACTACAAAACTCGAGAAAATTTTACCTCCATAAAGTTCAAAAACATTAATAAGTTTGCATAACGATCGTGATTATAATATTAAGGAATTTATACATAAGATTAACCCCTGGGAATGAAGTAACAGCTACCAAGCTATTAAATCATCATCATCATCATCATTACAGCCCCTCGCAAGTTCACTGCTGAACATAGACATCCCCCAAGGAATGCCACAAAGCACGGTTCTGAGACACCTGCATCCATCGACTTCCTGCATGTCTTACCAGGTCGTCACTCCATCTTGTGGGGGGTCGCTCTACACTACGCCTAGCGGTACGAGGCTGCCACTCGAGAACCTTTCTTCCCCATCGGTCATCGGTTCTTCGAGCTATATGGCCGGCCCATTGCCACTTCAGCTTACTAATCCACTGGACTATATCGATCACTCTGGTTTTACTGCGGATATCCTCATTTCTGAGTCCATTACGCAGAGAAACTCCGAGCATAGCCCTCTCCATAGCTCGCTGAGCGACCTAGAGCGTCCTCATACGGCCAGCAGTGAAGAACCACGTCTCAGATCCGTAAGTCATCACTGGCAACACGCACTGGTTGTGCACTTTAGTTTTCAGAGATTGAGGTATACCTGACGAGAAGATTTGTCGTAATTTCCCGAATGCTGCCCAACCGAGTTGAATCCGTCGATTGACCTCTCGGTCGAAGTTGGACTTACCTAGTCGGACTATTTGTCCCAGGTAAACGTACTCGTCAACAACTTCGAGCATAGTGCTCCCAACAACTACCGTCATAGGTGTGACATGGACATTATACATGATCTTCGTTTTGTCCATGTTCATCTTAAGATCTATTCGTTGGTAGACACCATTGAGGTCATTGAGCGTAGTGCTAAGGTCCTCCAGCGATTCTGCCATAAGGACTATATCGTCGGCAAATCGAAGGTGATTGATGTGCTCGCCATTGATGTTAATACCGTATCCTTTCCAGTCCAGTAGCTTGAAAACTTCTTCCAACGCAGCGGTGAAGAGTTTCGGGTCACCCTGTCTTACACCTCTCTGCAGTTGGATAGGTGTCGTACTCTGGTTCTGTACTCGGATAGCCATCTTAGCCCTACTGTACAAACACTTCAGCACTTCGATATACCGACAGTCAACTTGGCACCGCTGAAGAGACTGTAGCACCGCCCAAATTTCGACGGAATCAAAGGCTTTCTCATAGTCCACATACGCCAAACAAAGTGGCAGATTGTACTCTTCGGACTTCTGTACAATTTGCCGAAGGGTATGTATGTGGTCTATGGTACTAAAGCCTTTTCGTAAACCGGCTTGTTGAGAGGGAGTTACGTTTCGTAGACGCGGCTCAGAAGGGAAATCGGTCTGTAGTTCTTCAAGAAAGCGTTGTCGTTTTCCTTAAAGAACAAGACCACTGCACTTCTGATCCACGCCTCCGGAGTAGTGCCACCATAGAGGATGGAATTAAAGAGCTTCTGAAGGATGAAGTCCTTCAGAAGCTCTTTAATTCCGTCCTTGATGATGATTAAAGAGCTTCTGAAGGACTTCAAGTACCAGTGTCCCACCCGCTTTCAGAAGCTCCGCTGTAATTCCATCCACACCTGGGGCCCTGCCGTTTTTAAGGTGCTGGAGAGCCATTCTAATCTCGCTCAGACTGACGTCCGGGATATCATCGGAATAGTGTCGGATAAGACTTGCTCTTGGATCGTTACTCACACTTGCGTGTGGCTCCAACGATGATGTGCACAGCTGCCCATAGAACCTTTCAATCTCACTCATAACCTATGGTGTCCCGGAAACGATGCTGCCACATTCAGTCTTCAGCTTTGACAGTTGGCTCTTTCTGGCAAACAGATCTCTGGTAAAGACTTTGGAGCCCTGGTTCCGCTCGATCGCTTCTTTAATACGAGCAGTATTAAAGTTGCGTAAGTCTTGACGCATGCATTTGGAGATCCGTCTGTTCAGTTGCCTGTATGCTGCCAAATCTGTTGACGATTGCAGCCTCATCTCCCGTTTTTGTGTTCTTCTGCGGCGGGTCTTGCAGAACTTAGCTCCGACTGCATGGACAGTTTCCACGAGCTTGTCATTCATATCGTCCGCTGCATTGCAATCTTCTAGACACTGAAAGCGGTTACGTAACTCGAGCTTTCGGGATTCTGGATTAGAGCACGAGGGGGACTGAGCGTTGACTTCATTAGACGAGACCTCTCCAACTTAACGTTTAGGTTCAGTGTGCCTCTGACCATTCGGTGATCGCTGCCAGTTTTCACCCTTGCGATCACTGAGACATCACTGAAGTTGGCGTCTGGTCGTCATAATGAAGTCAATCTCATTTTTTGTCGAACCGTCGGTGCTCTACCAGGTCCACTTCCTGTGGAGCCGCTTCTGGAAGAAAGAGTTCATCATAACGAGTCCCTCTTTCTCCATGAAGTCGGCCAGCTGCTGGCCCCTTCGGTTCCGTTGACCTACTCCAAATTTCCCTAACTTCAGCTCACCGTTTTCTCTTGTGCCTAGTTTTCGTTGAAGTCTCCCATCAACACCGTGTAGTGAGTGGGTTTTGGAGGAATGCATGGCTCTGGAAATATCCTCATACATTTCCTCCACCACCTCATCGGGATGTGCCGAGGTTGGTGCGTAAACCTGGATGACCTTCAGCGAATACCGTTTGGTGATTCTGAGTATCAGGTACGCGACCCTCGTCGACACACTCTCAATCTTTACAACGTTGTTGACGAGAGACTTGTGGACGATAAATCCGACACCTCCTTGGGACAGATGGTCGCCCTCCCGGTGATAGAACAAGTTGCCGGACTCGAGGATTGCCGTGTCCTCCCCCTCTCTTCGGACCTCGGATAATCCAATAATATGCCAGCGCAACTTGTCTACCTCTTCTTCCAGCTCCAGTATCTTCTCGTCAGTCCTCAGGGTGCGTGCGTTACATGTTGCCAGGTCGAGTCGTCGTAGCTGGCAACCGAACCTCCACCGGAGATTCTTAGCACCCCCTGCCCCGCCGTTACCATGGTCGCCGCCGTAGCCAGGAATAGCGTGGCCGCCGGTGACTGGGGGCCGTTTGTTTGCGACGTTATTCATGGGGGGATATTTGCCATTGTTGCCACGCTTGGCGAGCGGGTTAGCAACCGCACTTTTTTTATTATATCACTGTTGCTATCAGGAAGATGCTGCTGCCCATCTCCTGCCTGTCTCCCTCTGTCGCCTTTTACGACACCCACGGGAAGATATGGAGTAGTGAATATTTTCAACCGCCACTACACAGCTATTTAATATATTATTATTATTGTGGGGTATCTATATAGTTTTCTCATCTGGTTGGGTTCTATAAATATATAATTATAAATGAAAATGAAAAGATAAATATACATAAATATCAATAACATAAAATAAATATAAAAGTACATAAATAAGTAAAAGCCCAACCAGATGGAGGCCCTCGGCAGGGGAGACTAAACGGCCGAGGGTTAGGGGGAAAGGGAAAGAAACCGGCGGACGATGCGGGCGGTATCGAGGAGCACCGCCTTCTGCATTTGAACCTGGAGCGGTCCGCCACGTAGTCCCAGCCGCCTCAGATGACCCGAGAGGCTGACTGGGATTAGCCCGTTTGCAGAGACGACTACAGGAATAATTTCGGTCGGCAGACCACCCCACATGTCGGTCACCTCGTGAGCCAGGTCCAGATATTTTGTTTGCTTGTCTGTTTCGGCTTTCACGAGGTTCTCGTCATACGGAATGGTAATGTCGACCAAAAATATCCTTGACTGTGCCCGGTCCATCAGCACAATATCAGGCTTATTCGCTAGAATAGTCCTGTCTGTGATGATGGTTCGGTCCCAGTAGAGCCTGGCGCGATCATTTTCGAGCACGGCTTCCGGCAAGTACTTGTAATACGGCAATTTCCGATCCACGAGACCGTATTTCAGAGCGAGCTCCTGGTGTAGAATTCTGGCTACTAGGTTGTGCCTGTGCAAGTACTCAGAGTTAGAAAGCGCCGAACAACCGGAGATAACATGCCTAAGTGACTCACCGGGATGGCGACAAGCTCGACAGATGTCGACGGTGCCATCCTTTAGGATGTATCTCCGATAGTTGTTGGTCTTAATAACCTGATCCTGTATTGCACAGACAAAACCCTCGGTTTCCCCCGAAGAGATCACCAAAGCGTAGCCAGTGGAGGGAGGCTACTGTGTCTACGAAAGGCTCATGTAGAGCCTTGTAGAACCTCCCGTGGAGCTCCTTCTCCTTCCATACGGTCTCCCGGTCGGAAATGCTCTGCACTGCCGGGTCTTGCCATTGCTCGTTGGCTAAGGATAGAGGGGTAAGTCCTTTATCACAAGAAATGACGTCCTTATAGAATGGATCATCCGATCTCGCAAGGAAGTAATCACGGAGGCTGCACACTTCGCGATTATGCATGGTGAGCGCGCTCAAGAAGCCACGACCACCATGCTTCCGCGGCAAGTACAGCCTCATTACCGACGATCTCGGATGATGCATCCTATGGGACGTCATGGTAGTGCGGACTTTTCTATCCAGGGCGTTAAGTTCAGTCTGAGTCCACCTGAGTATGCCAAAGGTATACATGAGGACAGGCATGACCCAACCGTTATATGCGTGTGCCTTATTCACACCGGACAAAAGGCTGTTAAGCACTTTGGTCAAGCGTGCATAAAACTCGTCGCAAACTGACTGTTTCATACCAGCCTCATCGATACCGATGTTCTATGACATACCCAGGTATCGGTATGTTTCAGCCTCGGAAAGGGTTCTTAAGTTGACGGGCATAGATAAGTCTATGCCCTCAGAGTTAGCAACCCTTCCCCTTTCAACATGAAGGACCGCACACTTATCCGTCCCCAGCTCCATTCTAATAGAATTGCTAAATTCACACGTGATGTTTAGCAATTCCATAAGATGGGAGCGACTGGAGGCGAATAATTTGAGGTCATCAATATAGAAAAGGTGGGTCACTTTTGTGCCTCCTTTCCGAAGCTGAAATCCCCTCCCGGAGCCCTCCAGTAAAGTACTGAGAGTGTTCAAAGAGAGGCAGAACCAGATTGGACTCAGACAGTCGCCCTGGAATATACCCCTTCTTATCCTTATGCGGCTTTCCGCAGCCGTCATCCGCTCGCCTAGATGACAGAGGATCGTACTCCACTGCCCCATACACTGCTCGAGGAAGTCTCGAACTGTACAGTCAATCTTGTACAGCTCGAGGACCCTCTTTAGCCATGTATGGGGCACCGAGTCAAATGCCTTTCTGTAATCTATCCAGGCGGCGGAGAAGTTCCGACGGTTGCGTTTCACCACTTTGCCAATGACCGCGTCAATGAGGAGTGGTTCCTTGGTTCCACGACTGCCGCCCCGACATCCATTTTGAGCGCGCGACATCACCTGATTTAAGTCCAGGTGACGAGCGATTCTTGTGCTCAAAATGGATGTCAGTGTCTTGTATATGGTCGGTAGACACGTGATGGGGTGGTATTTGCTCGGGTCTGTGGCACCCTGATCTTTAGGAACCAAATGAGTGATCCCAGTAGTGAAGAGGCTTGGGAGCGACTTCTGGTTGAGAGCCTCTTGAAACTGTCGGGCGAGCACAGAGTGACACACCATGAACCCCTTCAGCCAGTAGTGATGCAGCTCGTCAAGCCCCGGACTTTTCCAGTTCGGGGCCCTACGGACCGCCTCAGCTACGTCATCCGGCGTTATGATGACGGGGTCCATGGGCGTAATACTCGCACACTGACTCGCCACAACTTCCGTCCAAGGGCCCTCGTTGTGGTTTACGGGCTCTGACCACAGGCTGCGCCAGAATGCGACCATGTCGGCCTGATTTGGTGCAGGGCCCGTTCCACTTACTATTGGTCGCTCCACTGATTTATAGAGCCTCTTCTGATCACTCTGGAAGAGACGATTCTGGTTGAACCGTGTCGACCTCTTGGTATATCGCCGAATCCGCTTTCCCCAAGCAGCTATTCTTTGCTTCAGGTCGTCTATGCGCTCCGTCAGTTTTTGCATTATATCCGGCTGGGACAAACTAACATTTGTCCCAGCAAACGCCATCCTGACGGTGCGCACAATCCTTGGCCTGGTATTGCCTGACCTGAAGCATATCAGTCTGCCGATGAGGGCCCTAGCCTTTGCGATACGTTCTTCAATTCTTATTCTCCAGGCTGGGATAGCACTACTTTGTCCAGTAGCGCGTCCAGCCGTGGAAAGTTTGGCACCTATAATACGGCAGACTGCCAGTGCGGCGCCAAAAAGAATTGAGTCCGTATCGCAAAGGTCCCGGCTGGCTTCCAAATATATAACCAGCATTGGGTTCAGAGCCCTCACGACAGCCCGATTCCGCTTGCTTAGGGCTAAGCGGGGAAGTCGCGGTCGATTTTCGATAGTCGTACTGCGCGTTTCCACAATCGCCTCTTCCAATGTACTCCTCATTTGCTCTAGTTCCAGTTCCTGGGCGACTGTTCCATCATCGTTTGAATCAACCACAACTGGCGTATTCACGGCGGCATCCACATTTGCCGTTTGCTCAGCAAGTTGTGGCGCCGCATCCTCAGCCGCAGCATTTTCACCCGATGAAGGAACAGCCTCACGTCGTAGCCGTTCGAGTTCGGTGACATCAAATGTATTTGAGCGCAAGATATACCGAACTCGGTCTGCCAGGTTTTGCTCGGTGACGGTTACAGATGGCTCCAGCTCAGCAAAAAGTCGATGCATCCTTGCCCGATACGCAAAACCTCCAGTTTCTCCCCCCTTTCGCCCTAAAATACGCCCGCAATGCGTTGCTGTTCATTTGGGTTGTCCAACGCATGCGGCGTACTCCACCAGTGGCGGGTGCCGATTGCTGAGCCCGCGAAGACCCTGCCGACACCAAGCCAGCTGGTGGGGATGATGGATGCGAGGAGCTGCTGGGTGGTCGTGCAGCACCTCGCGCTCGGCTGGCGGTTCGCATGCTGTCGCGTCCAGCGCCAGCTCCAGACGCACCCTGGCGACCTCCAGGCAGCGGCCCTTTGCGCATTCCATTTGATTCCATCATCCATTTTATGGCGTCATTTAGCGGGAGACGCCCAGACCCGGCGCCGTTTCATGGTTAGGTCATGTGCACAAGCGGGCCTTGGCACCTTCAATTTTTGCCGAGGCACGGCATTAACACCTCTTGGCAAGGTGCTGACTGACTGCGCCGACGTAGCGGTTTTGTCACATAACCGTTATATCAGCGGGCGATGGGGTCGTCACTTCCCTACGCCTTATTATTATTATTATTATTATATTGACTGCCTCGTTATTCTAGTGACTTTAAACGCTATTGCTGATCACGGGATTTTTCTGTCAATAAATTATCAGCAGCAGCCTGGAGTTAGAAAGTTAGCAGTGTTTCAACCCCGTGTCTCAGAAAGCACTTAAAGCCATAGGGCTTGCGCCTGATATTTGTTCGGTCGCGTCGAATTAACGTCCCATCGTATTGTGAGAGTGAGGGAATAGAGAGTACAATTTTGTGCTTACGCATACACTCGGGCTATAATCCTGTCCTGTGCAGGTGGCTAGTCTCCATTGAGACAGGCCGCCGCGATCAAAACAGATCTGGGGGACATTTCTTATATTATAATTTGTAAAGTTTAACTTTAAAACATAATTCATGATTGTAAAAAGTTCATGTTTTAAAAAAAGTTTCATTGGGTTTACTCATGTTCTTACCAAGACAGAGGTATTTTCTGGACCAATATTAAACTTAACATAAGAGTGGTTTTAAATAAGTATATTAATTTACATTAAAAAGTTTCTATTTTCATTACAAGGTGAGAGACGACAAAGGAGTGTGTGGGTGGCAGCATTTCCTTGATAAAGACTCAAAGTGATAAAAATGTATGGTTGCTAAGCGCCGTATATTATAACTATGTCGTAATAAATATATATAATCTGGCAAAAAAATATATATAAGTAGGCAGTAATAAATGAATGGATAGATCTTAACGCAATAACACAATACTTTAATTAAACATTATTTATTTCAATCTACGTTTGATGCATTTTGATAGCAATAGAGCTTACGAGCAATGTAGAAAGAGTTTACTTGGCGCAAGAGGCTTTTAAGAGATTAAAACCGTTAAAGTTTGTATTTCCTTCATGACGCGAGTTGTTGCAAAACCCTAGGCAAAACAATATCATATATTTTCTATTTGAAAAGCTATACATTTATAAAAAAAAATAATTTTAAGTTGATTCTAATACCTTTAAAGTTATTATATATTTAAAGTTATTCTAATACCTTGAAAATACATACTTATTGTATTATATACTGCTTGCTTGCCGCAAACGAGTACACAGTCTACCTGATGGTAGGTGGTTGCTGCGGCCCATAGAAATCTATACCTATCCTCGATTACGAATCAAAATGCAGATGCGTTGTCACCCGTGAAGACTAAGATGGAATGCCTTGTTTCCGGTAAAAAGGGTCTCCGGTTCTCTACACTCACCATACGAAACACAGCAGCATTAAGCTACTATTTTACGCTGTTATTCTGTGAGAGCGTGGTCCATCCCCAGTCGAGCCCACCCATTCATGCTCCAACTATACTACTAATATAACTACAGCGTGGCTCTACGTGTCTTCAAGGCAAGAGTGAATAGGCTTGTTTTTAAATTCATTTGACATGTGCGAGTGTCCTGTTGCCCTTCAGTGGCACAAGAGGCCTTAAGAGTATTGTGAAGTGCAAACACGCGGCACGAATAGTTATTATCAAAAATATTACCTGTTTCATACCGCTCGTTCTACCTCCGCGATAAAGAGAGTCGCAAGTCTTGGAGGCAATTGTCTACATTTCCTTTTTAAAATATTGTTTAGGGTGATAATTTCTCGCCCTTTACGAAATGAGGCGATATTGGCCTCATTAGATTCAATACACCTACAATGTAAAAGACTGTACGTATTTCTTTTTAAGAAATTCAGTTTTGTTTAATTAAAATTGCTAATAGCGATTAGCGACATTTAGATGCTAATAACTTATATCGCATGCAATATTTCTTTAAAATAATAACGTACGGACCTATTTTTCCATTATATGTACAATATTTCTAAAAAATATGAAAATTGGACTCATTTCGAATTTTCAATTGAGTGTGCAGTGCTCTTTCACTTAGTATTGTTTTGTATTCGAATTTTACTAAAATTAATAATTTTTGTACTTGTATTTTCATTTAAAATCATCTACATGTATAGTAAAAAGTTTCATTTATATAGCGGTTTAGTAAAGTAGCAACACGTTTTTTTTTTAGTGATGAAGCAAAGCGGTGAAATAGACCAGCTAATGTGAGTCGAAATATAAGTGGATGAACAGTTAGCGAACTTGAGTGGGATAGGAGCTGCTGCAGATTAGGAACAAATAGGACAACACCTTTCTAGACAAGGATGGAAAATCAGAGCCGAGATCTTCTTAATGAAAACTGCACGCGACTTTCTAGTATTTTGGTGATTTCTTCACTATCGTAATGCACCAAACAGTGTGCGGTGTTGAAATTAGCAGCAATATTGAAAAAATAGTTTTTCAACGTTTAAAATCTCTACTTCTCCACAAAACTTAAAATTTATTTCAAACTAGCGATCCGCCCTGGGTTATCACGGGTTGTTTCTGGATCTCAACAACAACTCCATCTACCGGATCCAATTGTAAATCTAAACCATCCAGCGACCCACTTAAACACAATCAAAAATTTTTTTGAGAATCGGTCATGCCAGTACTGAGTTTTAACAAAACTAACGTACAGCAATTGATTTTTATTAATAGAGATTATATTACCCAGACGCATAAATTCAGCAATAAACACAGTATATTAAATACAAAAACGCAGGAAAAGTGGAAAATATGTTAATTTTCAGCCGATTAAAAAAGGAGGAGTTTCTCAATTCTTCTTAGAAAAGCAGCTCATCTTCACGCAGTACATAAATATTTAAAGATCTTTATTACTCATTAACACAAATATATGTCTCTGACAGCTCGCGACATGTTATACTCCCGTTCGCTCGGGACCTTAATGGCGGGAAAATTTGCTAGTTAGCAAATTTTTTGCTATATTGCAAATTTTGCTATATTTTCACATTGAGACAATATTTATGGATAAAACTTACAGGAGTTCTTGTTGAATGTATAAACTATCGAATAAAATTATTTTTGGTTGCAAAAAATTGTAATAAAATTCATAAATTACCCTTTATAGCATAGTAGTAGTATATACATCACTTTTAGTGTCAAAATTACTACTAATTTGAATTCTACACTTTTGTTTTTGGAGAAATTTATATAAAAATGTTTGGAAATATGTATATTTTTATGTTTTATGTGTTTCTATTCGTTACTTATACCGAAATATTAATAAATAAAAAAATAAGAATAAATAAATAATAATATTTATCAGTACGACATTTCGAACAATATTTCAAAAACATTTTTGTGTGAATTTGAAATATATACAACGTCAAGTTATTTGAAATATGTTAGAAAACTATTTTTTACTTACATTTTACACTAAAAATAAATGAGAATTGGAAAGATAACATATTTTTGACCCAACCGCCAAAATGGGCCTTCCGGATTTCGAAGTACTTTTGGCAATTTACTTTTCACTTTTTATACCACACATTATATATCTACGTGTTTACTATATTACAAGGAATATAAAAAAGTATAATACTTTCGTTTTTAGTCCAGACACAAATATAAAATTCTATAAAAAAGACGGAGCACCTTCATCAATGCGACGTGGAACGCCGAAAGTTCGGAGTGATTTCTTTTTTTTCTAAGAAACATTGCCAGGTTATGGTTTAAAATAAAAGAGCATTTCTTTGTCTTTGATACTATTATCTATTGCATATTGTATTTGGTTTTGTTTAAAACGAAAAAATAGTTTTTTCATAGGGCAGTACTTCATATCGAATTCGATCTCTTTTAGAGCCGAGGTAAGTAAGTGTAAGATCGAATTCGAGCTCCATTAGAAGAATGAGTTCATAGCTTAAGGTAAATTTACAGTATTTCATAAGGATAGTCATAATCCGACACGCGAACCTAAGTACTAATAGTAGAAAAAGCTTAAATATTACAATTACCTACACTTACTGACCTACAACGCGACTGAACCCGTTTTAGTTGCGGCAAACGGATTCAATATAAGCGTTTTTTTCGTAGGGGACTAGAATCAATCATGATGGGAATATCTTAGGTAATATATCTCTTTCTACGGTTTCCGGTACGAATTGCCCTGATTAATATACTACCGGGTTTGATCAGGTGCTTCGATATCACTTACAACTTTTTAGACTCGATTGGAGACTTATAAATTTCAAACAACTTAACGAGGGGAGTACTTTCTTAATCATCGTAACTTTACGTTTACTAAATATATTTGATTTTATTTTTGTTTAACGTTTTTCTTGCATGAAAACATTACTTTAGAAATTTTACAATAAATACATTTCGGTGTACTATTTTTAGAAATAATCATACCTAAAAAAAAGAATCAAAATAATTAAAATTATGTAAGTCTTTCTTAAGTCGGCGCTTTAATTCATAAATACAGTATTTTATAGTTAACCAAATCTAAGAAATACCTTTTGACGTTACACATTAATAATTCCGCAATAACTTTGCACAAGCGAACTCACACGATTTAAAATAACCTTTTACGTAAAATCCGAAGAATTATGAGGTTATCTATATTTCATCTAC